GGCCAGGAGGTGGAAGTCATGTGGTCCGTGGGCCTTCAGTTTGACTTGTTCTAGATTTATAAAAAGGCAAAAAAAAAAAAAAACTGCTGTTTGCCGTAGTGCTGTGGATACAGTTTTGGTGCCTCTTAATTCAGTAAAGCACCAATAGTGTGCAGACAGTGGTTGCTCGCTGTTTCCTGTATTGCTTTTCATTCATATGCTAAGAACAAAGGTTTAAAGTGGTTTAAAGGGGTTTATTTTTTCCAAAGATAATGTGTCTCCATGATGTATATAGCAGTGCTGAGGTACTTCCCATGATGTAGGTTCAATCRTTTTTAAAGCTTTGAAGTAATAAACACTTCAGATCTTCAAATCTGAATTTGTGGAGTTGTTGCTGAGTGATTTTCTATCAGCCGCTCACAGCTGGTGGTGGTCTCTGTGCACACAATCACACACAAGACATCACAATAAAATATGTCATTTTGACAACATTAGTTCCTTTTTCTTCAAGAAAAACACAAAACAAAACCATAAACAGCAGAAGTTGAACATATTCCTCTGCTACAGTTTTCAACCCTTCAGCAGGAACAGTCATGGTTTGATGCGCCCTCTAGTGGTAACAGCAGAAAACTGTRCTTTTGTCTTTTATGGGCTGCATTTACTTTTTATCTGACACAAACTGKATGAAAAACCAGAACATATAAAACRTGAAAATATTAGACAGCGTGCATTAAATAAATGCAAGTTTAAAATATTAGAATAAACAGATTTAAGTTGCCTCATCTGCTTGCATTACTAGTAGAAGTGACTAAAATATAAGAAAAAATGGGMAGAGTCAAAAATGAAATAATACTTTGAGTCAGAAGCTGTGTTATAAATGTTGAAATGATGTCACAGCAGCTGCTCAATCCCTCCGTTCTGTTTAAAAAGACTTCTTTTCTTTTTTTTCTATTTTTACAATAAACATTTGATCTAAATTGGACTGAACTGCCCAGTGATCTTTGCTGGTGGACAAAAAGTTTCCATATAATGTAGGTACACTAAAATAAAAAACCTAAACATTTGCATTGGATTTGCTTAAATAAACAGTCAACATGTTCTACCCAACTGAACTGAGTAAATCTAACACAATTACTTCACATTCAGTTATAAATGAAAATATTGCTTTTTATTTACTCATTTCAGTAGAGTAGAACCTGATGACATAATTTAAGCAAATCCATGCAAACGTTTAGGTTTTCTTGAGTGCATTGGGCAGTAAATGTATTAAATACTTATGGCTGGCCATATTTCTCTCCTGGTGAATCACCAATCATTTGAATAATTTGCCAAATGGGATTATAAATGTTCCAAACATAAAGTATTTGCACATTTGGCAAAAGTATGGCTGTTAAATAAGCAGATTTGTACTCGTTACTGATGAAAGCAAAGAGATTATTTGTTAGTTTGTAGTTTGGTTTTAGTGAGCTCTAAATAATGACTTCTTAMACATTTAATTATTTACCAAACTGACTTTTCACCATACTGATTTGATTTATTCATTTAACATGAAAAGATTACTAAAAATCAAGCCTGACTCAGTATAATTGCTGTTTTACAGCAGGTTCCTGTTC